AAGCAGTTAGGCTGCTTTTATACTCCTCCCAGACCCCAGTTCGTTTGGCTTTATTAAAAAGCTTGCGCGCCTTAGATCTGAGTAAAGAGAGTTTGCTGGACCACCAGGGGCATTTGCGTCCCGYGGTGATCGTCTTTAGGGGGCAGCTGCAGTGGTACGCATTTGTGATGGCCTGATTCAGCGCAGATAGCTTGGGCCGACGTACCTCTGGCCGACTTCCCGCCCCCTAGCAGATTTTGTTTTAACGCATCCCGATAAGAAGACCAATCTGTGTTTTTGGGAATACGTTTGGGGGAAATATTCATGASCTTCACCCCTAGCCCGAATCTCAGGATCCTGTGATCTGACATTGAAGGTTCTGATGATACCCTCCACTGCGAGACCACTCCCGACATGAGCTCGTTGCTCAGGGTAATGTCCAGCACTTCCCTCCTGTTGCTAGTGACGAATGTGGGTTCACACCCAACATTCTCAMTACTTAAGTTATTGCTAATGATAAATTCTAGGGGAGACTCACCTCGTGTATTACAGTCCGTACTACCCCATTCAGTGTGGTGCGCATTCGCGTCGCACCCCATTATTTTAAATAATTGAACTTGTTTCCCCATAACACACAACATATTTATTGTTTACAATTTTTTTTTTAATATTTAATGCCTACGAAACAAAGTTAGTATTTGAGTTTACTACATTGTCATGTGTTTCACCAACGTAGTATGGCATATCAAAGGGAAACTTTTTTTCCAATCTAAAGTATATGGAAATCTAACCAATACACAGAACATCAGTCTAAACATTTTCTCACAAAAAACTTACCTCGCAAATCTTGTCGTTCTGCTAATTTTCCGATTAAGAAACAAACTCTTACAAACATTTTTGCATCGTTTACATCCAAACAGGTTAATAAAATTTGTATCCCATCTACGTTCACAAATTCCACTAGACCAGGTTCAAAATTTTGTATTAAAGATGATATTGCATGTAAACTACTGGTTGCAGCTTCATCCGATTGATTTAAATATCTTATAAGTGTTGGAATTGTTTTTGCATCGACAAAATGCTTTTGACATACTGGGTTATTTTGTGACATTTCTGCAATTATGTAGGCAGCTAAACTTATTATTTCACAATCTGTGTGATTTAGGTTTTGAATTAAATATACAGAGCCGCCAGCTTTCACGAAACTGTTTGCAAAATCTATGTCGTCAATACTTTCCCTGATTATATGCAAAGCGTTAACTTTGTCAATAACTGTTGATTCTTTTTCGTCTAAAATGGATATTGCTTTTTGAAACTCCTCCATTACATCTGTAGTCGCAGTATTTAAAGCTGATTCGAGGAACTGTTTTTTCTGAAAAACATGAAAATATACAACTGAAAATGTTGCATGTAGAATAAATTTTGAGTTGACTTCCCAGATTTTACCCGCATTAGGGAAAATCTTCCATAATGTTAATGAATGATGGTGGATATAAATAATATAAAATAGTACTTGTCATTGGCTTCAACATCCGCACCGTTAGTTCTGCTTTCTCCAGACTGGATAAAGAAGCGAAGCAAATGAGTCTGGTAGTGAACGAGGGCAAGACGAAATATCTCCTGCCATCAAACAGACAGTCGTTGCACTGGCGACTTGGCACTCACGTCACTGTTGACAGTCATAACTTTGAAGTCGTAGATAATTCCGTCTATCTTGAAACCAGCGTAAACACCACCAACAATGTCAGCCTAGAAATCCAACGCAGGATAACTCTTGCCAACAGGTTCTACTTCGGACTGAGTAGGCAACTGAGAAGCAAAGTCCTCTCTCGACAAAAAACAGAATAAATCTTGCCAACAGAGAAAGAGACGTACGACATTGACATAGATAGTTCAGCGAGTTAAAAGACAGCGGATACGCTGGCTAGTTCATGTCATCCGAATGTATGAAAACACTGCAGCTCCGATAGTATTCAACGCAGTACCCGCCGGGGGAAACAGAGAGAGACCACCACTCCGTTGGAAGRACCAGGTGGAGAAGGAATTGACTACACTTGGAATCTCCAAATGGTTCCAAACAGCGAAAAGGAAAAACGCTGTTGTAAACTCGGCTATAACCGCGTTATGACTGTCAACAGTGACTTGAGTGCCAAGTCGCGAGTGCATTATTATAGAAGATGGTACCTTCTCTATTTAGTTCTGCAGCTCGAACTATTTTCTCCAGATGCAAACAAACAAGAAAACATACAAATGAAGCTAATAAAGGCGTATTAAAAAAGAGTTTATGTATTAAATCGTTGAGTATATAATAATACAACTAGAATTGAAACAGGATGATAGTACAATAACAACTTTGTGTAAAAGTTCACGCAAGTGAGGAAAGTTCTCTGATCGCCATTTACTTAAGAAGCAGCTCACGACTTCCGGTCTTTGATCAAGTATCCTCTGGGTAGCTTAAGAACATCCGTTTGAGGACAAGCTAAAGTGAGAAGGCGAAACATCCCCTTCACAGGGTTTTGCGAAAAGTTGGAGACCCGTCACGTAACCAAAAACGCCCCATTGTAAAGGAAAAGAACTGGTAAGGAGCATGCATCAGCTTCTTTCAAAAATATGGTTGGACGAAAGCATGCCCAACGATAGGAATTGAAGTCCGTTCCCACGACAGTCGGGTCTACGAAACCCGGAACGGACCCGGATTTTTATCCGGCCAAGGACTGTCAACTCGGCAGAATTCTGCCGTTACAACAACAACAACAACATTGGAATTGAAGTGTGCTCGCCCAATCCACACAATCTGCGTCAACTACCGTGGGATAAGCCTCCTTAAGCTCGCATATAAGTCTCGAGTGTATTGTGCTAAATTTTAAAGCGCACCGTCAAAAAACTTTATATCTGGTAAATCAACAACTGACCAAATATTCACCATGCGTCAAATCTTGGAAAAAACCAGTGAAAAGAGAATCGACACTCACCATCTCTTCGTCGATTTCAAAACTGCTTTTGACACCTCGAAAAGGAGCTGCCTTTATGCCGCGATGTCTGAATTTGGTATCCCCGCAAAACTAATACGGCTGTGTAAGCTGACGTTGAGCAACACCAAAAGCTACGTGAGAATCGGGATGGACCTCTCCGAGCCGTTCGAAATCAAACAAGGTAGGCGCTTCGCTATCGTGCGACTGTGCGTTATCGTGGTGCAAAAACTAAGAGTTGTCAAGCCATAATTAAGATCAGCTTCGCGCAAACGAAGCATAATACTCAAATTGTATCCCTTCTTCAGCCAGTCGGAAAGAATTCGTTGTGCACCACACCTCGATAATCGAAGAAAGCTGTCAACCTAACATTGATTTTTGGCGTTGTTTTCGGCATCGGTCCATCTTTATCACGATATTTGGCCGACTGAACGAATGTTTCCGAGTCGTAAGTATCATCGCTAGTAATAATACGTTTCTTGACTTCCTGAACATTGTTTCACAGACGTTAGATAGATAAATAGTTGAGGAATGCACTGCGACCTTAGGTCTATTGTGTCCTCTCCTAACTCACAGGGACTCGCTAAGCCCCAGCATATTGATGAAGTCCAGTATTTTGCTGGGTGCTAGCGAGGCGATGTGATCCCCATCCAGAAACATCTCTCCAAGGGCCTTCGACCTGCGCCTACAGACTGCAATGCAGTCGATTAACAGGTGCTCCGGGGTTTCGGGGTCCCTGTCGCAAAACCGACAGTTGGCGCAAGATGATAGGCCATGTTAGCTAAATGCATTTTCAGCTTGCAGTGGCCGGTGTAAAATGCGCCCAGGTTCCTGAGTTGTTTCTTGGAAGGTTTATTAACGATTTGGTCCTCTTCAGGTTGTACCCCCCAACTAGCAGCATGGCATGACGCATAACGTGCGCTCGCTGCCAATACCTTTCCCTGCCCACTCTTTCTTCCTTGCGGAGGCTGCGGAGCGGGCTAGCTCGTCAGCCAGTTCATTGCCGGCTATACCCCTGTGACCGGGCACCCAGATTAGGTGCACCTGGTTCTTTCCAACTAGGTTGTTCAACCGTTCTATGCACTCATGCACCAATAGTGATTTGATCTCGTAATAGGAGATCGCTTTTAGTGCCGTTTGACTATCGCTAAGTATGGCTATTCGCTCGTTGCGATAGTTGCGTTGGAGGTGTATCTCTGTACACCGACTTATAGCCAATACTTCAGCCTGAAAAATACTCGGAAAACTTCCCATCGGAATGGAGAGCTTGGTACGCGGACCTGCAATACTCGCACCTATTCCTTCTGACGTTTTCGAGCCGTCGGTGTACTACCTCAATGTGCTATCCCTTAGCATTTGATCAAGAGTGGAGTCGTTCCACTCACTCCTGCTACGGAGGGTAACCTTAAACCTTTTCGTGAAGTGAGTTGTTCTGGTAATGCCGTCCTTTGGGAGGAGGGCAATAGGAATGTCGTCCATCCTCCGGGASGAGATTATCTTGCCTTTGCCGCATCCCTCTGCTGTTATCTGCAGAAGTGAATACTTGGCTACTTGACCTATCATTACATGGAGCGGTGTGAGTTCCAACAGGACCTCCAGAGCTGTCGTCGGACAGGTCCGCATAGCGCCCGTCATGCAAACACATGCTCGCCGCTGAAGCTTCGATAGTTGGGTTACCACCGAAGCCTGCGACGCTACGGAGGCCCAGGACACCGCCTCGTATGTAATTATCGGTCGCACAATCATGGTGTACAACCACCTAACGATCTTTGGCTTACAGCCCCAGGATTTACCCGCCAGCCGTTTGCACACCATTATTGCTTTTGTKGCTTCGACCAGCGTTTGGTTCACATGCTGCTTCCACCGCCAGACCCAGGTATTTAACCTTGCTAGTCATCTCGATCTCTCTGCCCCCAAGTGTGAGGTTCCTAAAGCCGGGTAGGAACCTGCGCCTTGTGAAAGGGACTACGGTTGTCTTTGAGGGGTTGATGTTTAGTTCCACTCCCCTGCACCTCCCCTTTGACAGATTTAGACCTCGCTGCACTAGGTCACAGAGAGTATCCTCAAATTTGCCTCTTGCTATTATCACAATGTCGTCCGCATACCCTTGGCAGCGGATCCCATTGTCAGTTAGCAATGCTAACAGTTCGTCCACGACAAGGCTCCATAGTAGAGGTGATAGCACACCTCCCTTTGGACAGGCTCTTGTCGCACACAGACGGATTTTGGTCTCGGCGATCCTGATGCGCAGTACGGCCTCTATCCATCTGCGCTCCGGTGCTACCACATTTCTTCTCTCCATCGTCCTGGCTACACTCTTGTGAGATATGTTGTCGAAGGTACCTTCGATGTCTAAGAAGGCACATATCATCACCTCCCCTTTCTCCAGTGAGCTCTCTATCTCCGAGGTCAACTGGTACAGAGCCGTATTGGTGGATCTTCCCACTCTGTATGGATGCTGAGCAGCATGCAGGGGTGCAGTCTTCAGCGCCGTCGACCTTATATTGTGGTCTATGATCTTTTCCATAGTCTTCAGTAGGAAGGAGATTCGACTAATCGGCCTGTAGGATTTGGCCAAGGAATAGTCCTTCCTTCCTACTTTGGGTATGAAGAGCCGTCCTCCATGGGTCAGGGATGTACGCCATTGCGAGTCTCAGAGGCTGTTCACCCTGCTGCAAAAGCGCTGGGAAGATGCCGTCCACCCCTGGAGACTTGAGTTTTTCTAACAAGGCCATTGCCCACTTAATCGAGTCCGCAGTGACTAATTGCCTAGCGGTTACCCAATCCAAGCGGGATGGCCTGTGTTCTCTCACAGGTAGACATTGGTCCACCGGGATGGTCTCCGGGAAGTAAGCACGCAGAAGCTCTGTCGCCATGTCCTCCGCACTGGTCGTAAAAGTCCCTTCACTTCTTTTGATGGCTAGCTCCGTGTTAGTCTTCCCACTAGTCAGAGCCTTGTGCAGCCGCGCCGCTTCTGGTGTGGTGTAGACCTTTTCACAGAAACTCCTGAAGCTAGCTTGTTTTGCTGACCTAATCTCCTTATTGTTGAGAGTTAGGTAGCTCCTGTATACTTCCCAGACCCCTGTAGGTTTTGCCTTGTTGAATAGGCTACGTACCCTTTTCCTGGGGTCTGCAAGCTTCTTTGTCCACCAGGGACAGTTGTGCCTATCTGTGGACACAATTGGGGGGCAGCTACCGTTGTAAACTTTAGTGATAGACCCACTTAGTGCCAACACTCTGCTTTCTATTCCCGGGCCCGTAACGCTATCATCGGTCTGCCGCACCCTACTTAATTCATCAGCGAGCTGTTTTCGGAAAAAATTTACTGATTTTGGAAATAATCTTGATTTCACTTTTTTTAGGCCCAAATGATCTTTCAAGATCGTTTTCAGTCATTATTCCA